CAGTAATGATAATGGCTTAGTAGAGGTGGGGAAAAGATTGTGGATATATTTGATAGTAGAGTCAACAGGATTTCCTGATAGATTCAAGGTACAGAATTAGAGAGAGGGGTCAAGGATTGTAAAGTCTAAGGCCTTTGGCCTGAGCAGCTGGAAGGATGTATTTGGTTGAACCAAATGATGTTGCTGATATTTGACTGTTCTTGACCTTAAAAAAAAAAAAAGTTATTTCATATATTCTAACTTAATAGTGGCCATTTACTGAGAAGGGGAAAACAATGTGAGGAAGAGGTGGGGAGGTTATCAGAAGTTTATTTTTGGTAATGAGAAGATGTTGAATAGTCAACTGTATATACATGTCTGGAGTTCAGGAGCAAGGCCCCAGTCAGCAATGTATATTAGGGAGTCAGAGCATAGAGGGCAGTTAAAGCTCTGAGACTGGATGAGATCACTTAGGAATTAAATGTAGATAAAGAAGAACAGAGGCCTGGAGACTGAGCCTGGAGCCTCTAGCATTTCCAGATCACGGAAATGAGGAAGCAGGAAGCCACGACTGGCAAAACAAGGGTTCCAAACAGGGGTGCTGGCCCCGACGAATAATGTAGGTGTGAAAAATTTCCCCAGCCTTGCTCTCTCCTTGAGCCTTGGCATTAGGGTGTGTGTGTATGTGTGTGTGTGTGTGCATGCATGTGTGTAAGGGGGACATTATAATATCTTATCCATGACTAGATCTTTAGAAATTGCAACATCTCTTGTCCTATTTGATCTAAGCAAGGGTAATGTAGGTGCTATCATCCCATTTTACAGATGAGTAAACTGGGACACAAAGGTTAGGTTACTTGCCCAAGTTACAACAATAACAGATAGCAGATCTGGGACTATGAGGGGGCATCTGTCTCCAAGTCCCACACTCTCATTGAATCACACTTGTTCGGGGGAGGTTGGTGCTTCCCCAGGGGGCCAGCTGCCAGAGGGAGCAAGCAAAGAATCCCATGGGAATGATAGCAGTGAAGGAGATACAATCTTTCCATCCTTTCTGTACAATCTTTCCATCGTTTCTGCTGCTGGCTGTTCTTGTGCCCCACTGACTGCTTCTATGGGGAAAAATTATAACAGGGTTACATGGAGATGACTTGAAATGAGTTTTAGGCTTTTATTTCTTGGCAGCAAGGAAGCTGCTGATATTATTGCCCTCTTGAGGGGTCTGGACCTGTGATCTCAGATACCAAGAGCTCCAGATTTAAAATGAACCTATTTCTCAACAGAAATGGTCAAATGGAATCAGGAAGCCTTATTTGGGGGACTTTCACATTTGGCAGGGATAGTGATAAATTCACTTTAGTTTTAGAGCCATTGGGTTAATAGGGACCTTTCAGAGATAGAGCAGCTTCTGGGCTGGGCTCTTCCACTCACTCCACCGAATGATGGGTTTCATCTTACTCCCTCTTAGTGTCTTGGTCAAAGCAATATATTCTCTGCAAACTTGTTTTCTTGCCTTTGAGAAGCTGCTCCTGAGATCAGAGGCTCCATTGGTCAAGCTTGGCCCTGCCCTGGGGAGAGATAAACAGGCCCGAATACATTTCCCAGATTGCAACACTGACGCGTCAGGCAAGGCTGGACAGCTGTTCCCTCACAGCACCCCTGGTTGTCCCCGATAAGGAAGAACATGGCTCATTCCAGCGTACTGCCTTGTGTACACACATATAAACAGACACTCCCAGGCCCCGGTGTTGTTTTAGAGCAAATTATTGACATTCTGAGTGGCTGAGACACTGGGGGGAAAGGTGAGCACAAACTGACTCTGCTCAAGGGAAGCTCCAGGTCCATAAACAAAAAATAAGTCAAACCAAGGCTGTCATTTGGCCCCACTTTGGAGCCACTTTTTGAACCTACCTGGTCAAGGGCAGGTTCAGGAGTCCTCTGAAGCTCTGGAAAGAGGAGGAAAGGGGGAGGAAGTCAGAACAGGGGAGGTGGATTTATGAAGGAGCAGATGGCGAAATGCCCAGAGAGAAAAGTGTCTGGTAAAAATGTGAACATACCTTCACCACAAAGATCGACACTGTGACGTCTTTAAAAAAATACCAAAAATGGGAATTCCCTGGTGGTCCAGTGGTTAGGACTCTGCGCTTCCACTGTAGGGGGCACAGGTTCGATCACTGGTCAGGGGAACTGAGATCCTGCATGTCGTGTGGCGCAGCCAAAAAAAAAAAAATTAAATTAAAAATACACCCCCCACAAAAAAGTGAATGCTCTTCTTCTTAAATGACATACAGTGTATAAGGGGTGGGGCAAATGGGGGATTAATATTAATAATACCATCAGTAATATATCACACCTTGTAATCAACACTTCACGTTGTCTTCATAAAAAGCAATTTATAGTTTACAAGGGGCTTTCACATTCATCTTTCCCATTTATTCCATCAACCCACTCGAGTGGGTAGGGCATTATAAGCCACATTTTACAGATGAGAAAACTGAGGCTTGGGAGGATATAAGCAATTAACTGAGTTATAATTAAGAGCTGGGGAGCGGCAGGTTTGTCCTAAGTAACCCAGGGCTAAGATACTTACTAGGAAGGGTGATTCCTTTTCAACGACTGCTCAGAGGCTAAATCACCATGGCATTCTTAAGTAGAGCAGCTTCACCTTCCCCAGTGTGGTCCAGAATAAGTCTCTCTAACTAAACACTCCTCTGATGATTTTTGCTTAGTACTTAGACCACAGCATCATAACATCTGTGAAGATTAAAGCATCACAGAAAAATCTCTATATCCCCCCCAGCCCTTCTTTCTCAAGTGTCCCATCCTTGACCAGCTCTTTCTGTTCTGGAAAAAATAGCTTCAGATCTTTTAAGTTTGCTACCTTGGTCTCAGGTGGGGAGGAAACGTCCTTATTTTCATAGGTCATTATGGAAGCACAGGACCCACCTAGAGCGGTCAGGCAGGTGTTTTGAAAGTGCTGATGCCTACTGGAATCTTCCAGCAGTGGCTCTCAAACTTTGGCCTGCATCAGAATCATCTGGGGAGCTTGTTAAAGACTTGGATGTCCAAGGCCCACCCCAGACCTTCTGAATCAGAATCTCCAGGGGTGGGACCTGGACGTTTGTGAGCTTAACAAGCTCCCCAGGTGATTCTGAAGTACACCAAGGCTTGGGAATCACAGGAGTGGGAGTCACTCAGATGAAGGTGGTGGGGAGTCATGCTGGGAGAGGAGGGAGCAACAACAGGAGCCTGGAGAGCCTAGAGAAGACACAGTCGCGAACAATTCCCTGCTCTGTCCTTGTCCCCCTTTAACAAAGTGGTCAAATAAAGGAAGTTAGAAATCTCTTCATTCAGAAATGTGCTCGTTCTGATAGAACGGCTATGTGCAATAGGAAAGAGCAATGCACCCCTTATAGAAGCAGTTAAAATAGCCTGTATTTTTCAGAAAGAATAGAGGTTACCAGGGGCCGCGGAGGGTGAGAAATGAGTAAGAAATTATTGTTTAATGGGTACAGATTTTGTTTGGGATGATGAAAAAGTTCTGGAAATGGATAGTAGTAATGGTTGTAGAACACTGTGAATATATTTAATACCACCGAATTGTACATTTGAAATGGTTAAAATGGCAAATTTTGTGTTATGTATACTTACACACACACACACACACACACACACACACACACACACTAGCTTGTCTTTTGAGGGGTGGAATGATAGGAGCATATAACGTTCAATTTTAGCTGATTGCTGCTGCCCCAGGTTCATGTGTGCATGTGTGTGTTTGTATATAGGAGGTTACATAAGGGGACCCAACTCACTGCATGTGGTTTGACAAAATACAAGTGTATTCGTGGGAACAAGGGAATAGATAAAAATTTTGAAAATAGATGGCAGCGAAAATGTGATATAAATAAATACAGGAGCTGTCTAGAACACTCT